TCTTTTCAAAATAGACAAGCCTAGACATTAGCATATCTACATACAGGACAGGAGAAAGTTGGGACATGGTTCTTACCGAGGATTGCTCAACTGTTATTGAAGCACAGAGCAAAAAGGGGCGGGTTTAAGGGGGGTCAACTGGGGTATAAATGTATATGAATGCAAGAAACAGCATTCACATAATTCTTTTTTTATTTCATTGGGCCCCACCCCATTTCTGAACAAACGTCTTGTAGTATAGTGGTGAAATTATGCTGCAAACAGAAGAGCATGTCATTTCAACTTTATCTGTGGTGCTCTTCATCATTACTGAATACATATCAGATATTGGTACAAATGCTGATGAGAAGGCAGACTACTGTTAATCTAACCCAATGCATTGGTGTTATAAATATATTATCGACCAATTATTGACCAAGCTCATGACAGATAAACTCTTTTATTGGTATCAGCCTGATGAAGACTTTTGAGATCTGAGACTGTTGTCCAATGACCTTTAATGCTCAGAGGTATTTTTAAAACCATTACACCAACTCAAACCAGTTTTTGCATTATATTTCCGGTATTAAAATTATACATGTTTTAATGTTAATACCACTTTTTGGCTGGTTCCCCCACTGAATTAGAGTGAGTCCCCCAGTGAAGCACTTATACCCAAAGCACGGCCTGGCACAGGGTCTTGCAAGGTGGCATATGGCTTGGTGGCTCCTATAGTGAAAGGGTTGGTTTCGATTGGCAGGCATTCATCCAGGAACCTGCTGCTCTACCGGTAAGACCGCCAGGAGGATGGTACTGGTGGCAGATGCTAGCCATGGTGCCACGCTATGCTCCTGACAGTCACAGCAGAGACATAATGCGTCACACAAGGCTACTGGTAGTATGGAGGAATTTCTGTCATGGAGGACTGTGTGGGTGGCTGTGTGAGAGAGTGAGGAAGGGAGGGAGGGAGGAGGAGGTAAGGGGGTGTGCTATGTAAGGGTACCATATGGCTTGAGGAAACACAAATGCAAATAGAAGGACGGATATTATAAAGGTTCCTCTACCCTGAGGGTGCGATCACACCCACAGTTTGTTTGCTTTGGTCCAAACCACCCTGAAAAAGTTGACTTTGTTGCAATTTTGTATTTACGTTGTGTAGGTTGGCACTGCGATATCACTCCACAGGTCCACGCTTGGAAGACCTAGCTGTATTAAAATGGTTGCAATGTGCAACTTCACAGCTAAATGCCACTGAATCCTACACATTAAATCCTTTAATTAGTCATCCCAAGTTTAAGATTTGAGTTTAGTGACTGTAATTTAGCAATTACCATCATTTCATGGCACAAATGACTTAATGGATGCAATGCATGGCAGTCCATTGCAAAGCTTCACATCAATGTTACATTCTTCTCCGTATGCACGGGAGGTTGAAATTCTGTTTTTCCAAAGACACACATAAATGTGTCTGCAGGTCTACCCAAAGAAGGATGCTATGAGTTAACTGTAGGTGGCACAGTCGTGCAGATGAGCGGACATGCACAACTCCAGAATTACAGCAATGCTTTATGGACTTGTAAAAAAGGTTCAACTCCTGTCGGGAGGCGGCTACAAAACAAAAAACAAAAGGAAATTAAAGCTGCAAGCAGCGTTGGGCGGGACCTCGCACTCCAAGTGACTCAGTGCGTGCTGCGGCCGTGTCACGACCGCTTTAGGTCATCACGCGTTTCAGACACAGTGCAAAAGACTCGGGCGTTCATAGCGAGACTCGTCACTGCGAACTGTGGAAATTCAGCGCCAAGCCACGGACATGCCGTTTGATGCACAGTAAAGTCCTGCTAATTGTTTTGGCATTAACATGTAAGACCACATTTAACTGAATTACATGTTGTAACAACTTTAACTAACATTCTTAACCCTACATCAACTTGTTACAATTCCATACATAAAGCCATATCATCACACTCACAGTAAAAGCAAAGATTATTCAATTATGCCATAAAATGAACTTCTGTTAATCATATCCTGATGCTAATGCAAAACCATCTGAAGTAGTATGAGTACATTTATGCTATAAATACTACTAACAATGATACAAATAACAATCTCACACACGTACTCTTACACAAATTACAGATGAAATTCACATGATTTCTTCTCCCTACTTTGTTCAAATACAACGGAATTCAAAATGGCCAACTTTGACGGCACGCCACGGACACGCCCTTCAACGTACAGTCGCAAATAGCACGGCGTTCATTCAGCACCATTTTTTGACTGTGCTGACCAAATTTGAACCAAACAAATTCCCCTGGGAGGAGTTGCGGTCAATACGAAAAATTTTTTAAAATGACAAACAAAAAAGGGCCACAAGAGAGTGAAAATCAAAATGGCCGACTTCCTGTGGGGTTTGGGGTATGGGTCCAAGAGGCTTTTTTGTACGTCTCGGCACGTTACACGTGCCTACCGAGTTTCATACATATTGGTGAAAGCTGCTATTTTTAAACCCTGTAGGGGGCGCTACAATCGCCTACAACTATTACGGTCTCCGCAGAGTGATTTACCCTGCCACCAGAGCGCCACCCAGTGGCGTGGATTTTTTCTCCTTTTTAGGTGAGCCTCAGGGAGCCATGGGCAATCATCGTACCAAGTTTCGTTTTAATCACACGTGCCGATGTGGAGATATAAACTTCTTCATTTTAAAGAGCGCCACCTTGTGGCAATGGCCTGAAATTGTGCTGGATGCCTAATGGAGACATAAGGAACTATTGACCCAAGTTTGGTCTCAATCGGACATACCAATGTGGAGAAATGGTCTAATTCCTGTTTTGATGAAAATTGCTCAGGAAGTGCTAATTCTTCAACATACTTTTGCCAGAACAGTCTCCAGATGATACGTGAAAAGTTTTGCGCAAAAAGGACAAAGTGCGTAGGAGGAACACGAAAAAGTAGTTTTTGGACATTTTGTTTTTGTTTAGGCGGAAGTGGACGTGGCCAATATGGGGAGGTGGATCTCCATTCACCGAACGTGTGGATACAAGGTCTTTGAATGTGGGAGAAACGATGCGGGAGTTATTAGCCAAAAACAACTTTTCTTAATAGTAGTGCCACCTAGTGGCCAACCCGAAAGCGATGCAGAGAATATCTAAGTTTCACCAGGTCTGACAACTTTGCCAAATAAAATTCACCTGAAGTATACGTTCAGGGGGTCAAAAACCTGTCAAAGTGCTGAATAAGATTAATAATAAACATTCAAAATACAATAGGGACCTTCCAGTTGATACTGGCTCGGTCCCTAATAATTAATTGCAGAAGACAGTGACCAGTATTTAAGTGGCCTATTAGCTGTTTTACAAACACTTCCTCTGCCACCTCACAAATTAGGAAAAGGATGCTAATAGGTTGGCTAACTGAACCAGTGTGAAAACAGCAGTTTTCCGCATCTCTTTTATTAAGCATACATGACTTGAGCATTTTCATCATGTCCTTTAATTAGAAAATATTTATGTTAATTTCACAACACATTAGGGATGAAACAATATACAATATTATTGCTTATTTCGTTTAAAAAAACACTTGAATCGGTATA